CATGTTTAACTTTAGGCTTTTTGTAGACGGATGTCCTTTTATCCTTTAGTTTTTGTATTTGGTAGCAAGACTTTTGTTGTTTCTTTTCCCGAGCTCTTGATAATCGAATGCTTCTCATTTGTGTGCTGGTCTTTTTGCAATAATTCATACAACTTTGCTTGACCCATTGAATGATTATCTTGATACACCACACTCTTGCAACATGAATTGGATTTGTTTTGTTATGACTGAACTTAGATGATTTGATTTCTAAGCTACCTACGTACTCCTATGAAGGAGATCAAGTCAAACGTAGTTCAAATGATTTTTTTTGATAAAGTAGAGCCGTTCACAGTTTTAACTCATGCGGGCTAGGAGCGTCCATGATTTGGGCCCACCCATAAACAAAGCGAGATGCATTAGCAGTTTAACCACGTGCTGCATTTTTGGTGGATGAGTCGTTCATCATATTTCCACGACTCGTGCTAACACCCCAAGTTTAAGGGTGGTAAAGCTTTAGGAACCTTCCATTAATTGGACTGATCTTCAAACCATCTTCACTAATCAGCTTGTAAGCCCCACCGGTGTAAACTTCTAAAATCACGTAGGGACCATCCCACCTTGAAGTGAACTTGTGGCCGATTTTTCTCGTGACAATGATGGGCCTACGAATAGCTAGGACTTTTTCCCCAATTTGAAAGGAACGGGTCCTTACCCTTTTGTTAAAAGCTCTAGACATGCGAGCTTGATAGCACTCCAAGCTTTGTTGCGCCTGCAGACGTTTTTCATCCAAGGCTTCTAACTCAGCCAAGCGTAGCTTAGAATTTTCTTCATCAGTAAGGCCCTGTTGTATAGCCAACCTTAAGGAAGGTATTTGGCGCTCTAGAGGCAAGACCGCTTCTACACCATACACCAAAGAATATGGAGTGCTTTGAGTAGGTGTGCGGCATGTGGTTCTATACGCCCACAAAGCTTCTTCCATTCTGTCATGCCAGTCCCTTTTTGATTTTGAGACCACTTTCTTCAACAAATTGCATAGGGTCTTGTTAAAAGCTTCAACAAGCCCATTCACAGCTGCATAGTAAGCTGATGAGTTTCGCTGCTTAAAATCAAAAAGCTTGCAGATCTTGTGTGACACCCGGATTTTCTAGCCTCTCTAAAATTCGAAATTCTTCCTTTTCTCAATTATTACTTCTTTCTGATCAAGCCATTTTGATTGAGCCATTAGAAAATGTCATCTCTACTATTATTGTCGTTATAAAAAATAATAATAATAATAATTGTATAATTGTTATTTGGTACATAAGTATGTATATATTATTTTTGAACTACAAACTAATTATGTTAGAACAAGTATGTTATATTATTATGGATTGTAAAATTATATATGCGCATTTTATATACTTATGTATTATGTATTATATGTGTAACTTATTTACATATATTATTTGTATGTAACATATATTATTCTTGTATGTAAGTAAAATATATATGGAATATTTGAAGTATTGAACAGTTAGTTTTTCAGTTAGATTTTAGCTGTGTTGTTAGATCTTTTCTCAGTTTGTTATCTATTTCTCTGCTATCTTCTATGTATAAATAACTGCAGCTTATTCATGAATAAATGAACACAACTCATATTATTAATTTGGTATCAGTTAAGCCATTCGATCCTCATGGCTGATAACAATATTCCACCTACTGCTAATGATGGCTCGTCCGGCGGTTCTACTGTAGTTGCCGCCGTCTCAGAGTCCAGATCGACGACCTTACTCCATCAGGCGCATCACCATGTATCGCTCAAACTCTCTTCATCGAATTACCTCTTCTGGAAAGCCCAGCTCGTGCCTTTCTTGCGCGGGCAGAACCTCTTCGGCTTTGTTGACGGTACGAATGTGTGTCCGCCGGCGATGGTGGCGTCTTCCTCGTCGACGACAGCGCAGGTTGTGAATCCTCTCCATGCGATATGGGTGCAACAGGATAAGTAAATCCTGAGCTTGCTTATATCCTCCATGGCCGACGAGGTGCTGTATCTGTCCATAGGTCATGCAACCTCTTGATCGGCGTGGGTTGCCATCGAGACTGCCCTCGGTTCTTCTTCACGGGCTAGATCGTTGAGTTTGCTTACGCAACTCCAAAGCCTCAGGTAGGGGGAGTCGACGCCGGCAGAGTATCTCGGGAGAGCGCAAGTGCTTGTGGAACAACTCGCTCAGGCCGGGCGTCCGATCGCACTCGACGAACAGAATCTCCATGTTTTCCGGGGGCTTCGACCGGAATACCGGAGTCTAGTAGCCTCCCTGACCACCAAAAGCGCGCCACTGATCATTCACGAGGTAGCGGACCTGCTGGCCACTCATCAATATTTATTTCCAGACGAGTCCAGCCATGTACTACCTCCGTCACCTGCGGCCATGGTAGCCCAGCATCCGTCTCCTACTTCTCAGCAACACCGTGGTCGCAGACGCAGCAATCATGGAGGTCGGGGACGAGGCCGCAACCGAGGCGGTATCCGGTGTCAAATTTGTGACATACCTGGACACACAGCGCTTACATGCTATCAGCGCTACTCCGACACCACCGGCAACCGAGTTCCACCCTCAAAGATCTGACACCGATCAGCGCCGCCGCACCAGGCGCATGTGGCCGCCCACCAGCCTTACCAGCAAGATGACTTCCATACTGCTCCGTTCAATGAATGGTTGCCCGACACTGGAGCATCAGCGCATGCAACACCTCACGCAGCCAATCTGAATAACGTCGAGCCTTATAGCGGAGAAGAAACACTTCGCGTAGGGGATGGTACAGGTTTGTCAATACAAAACACTGGGTCTCTACACTTTCACTCTAAGTCTCGGTCACTGTCCCTAAATTATATTTTACATGTCCCTAAGTTACGTGCCTCTTTAATTTCTGTACAAAAATTCACTCGTGACAATAACGTTTATTTTGAGTTCCATCCTAACTATTTTGTTGTGAAGGACCGTATCACCCAGCAGGTCCTGCTTAAAGGCCCCAGTCACGGAGGGATGTACTCACTCAATACGTCGCCTCCAGTTGCGTTTGTCACAGCCAAAACATCTCCGCGAATATGGCACAACCGTCTTGGTCACCCACATCTCCGCGTCCTCCGTCAAGTTCTTTCCCGTTGTCCAGTTCAAGGTTCTTTGAATACCCTCAATAATTTATGTACAGCGTGCCAGATGGGCAAATCGGCACGCTTTCCTCTCCCTCGTATTGAGCAGTCTAGCAATTCTGTACTTGAATTAATTTTTACCGATATTTGGGGACCATCTCCGGTCCCGTCTGTAGATGGTCATCGCTATTTTGCCCTATTTGTAGATGACTTTTCTCGCTACGTGTGGTATTATCCAATGAAATTAAAAACAGATATTTATTCTGTATTTCATATGTTCCGTACCACCGTAGAAAAATGCTTCTCTAAATCCATAAAATGCATACAATCTGACATGGGTGGTGAGTACCGTAAGCTACACTCGGTCTTTACCTCAGCCGGTATCACTCACCGGCAGTCATCCCCACACACCCACGAACAAAACGGGCGTGTGGAACGTAAACACCGCCATGTAGTCGAAACCGGCTTGGCGCTACTCGCTCAAAGCCATGTTTCCCAAAAATATTGGTCTTATGCTTTCGAGTCAGCAGTTTATCTAATTAATAGACTGCCTTCCACCGTTTCAAATAGTGTCAGTCCGTACTACTGTTTGTTTCATAAAACTCCGAATTATAATCTACTTCGTGTATTTGGGTGTGAGTGTTTTCCGTGTCTCCGCCCATACAATAGACACAAGATGGACTACCGCTCCACTTCTTGTGTCTTTCTGGGCTACCCGGACTCGATGCTTGGTTACAGGTGTTTGGATAGAAGGACGGGCCGTGTCTATATTGCCAGACACGTCCGCTTCAATGAAGATGTGTATCCTTATCAAGGTGAAAGTGTGGCGTCGACTAACTCTGCAGCTACCGGCAGTGCTCCCGGTGCTACTCCATGGGCGAGTGCCCCGGTTCTGCATTCGGGCCCGGCTGCTGTACCTTCATGCTATCAGGTACAATTATCTGCTGTCGTGCCAAGTTCTTCTCCGACACCGGACGCAGCTACCTCGTCCTATAATCCATCTACGTCGTCCACTACCACGACTAGACGCCGACGGACTGTTCGCCCAAACATCTGCACTCACAGCATGCAAATGAGGCAGCGGACAAACACTCAACGGCGGACACCAACTGCTATGGTTGTCTCGGCTGACGATAACGAACCAACCTGTCACTCCCAAGCGGTCAAATGCCCAAATTGGCGAAGTGCAATGGACACCGAATTCAATGCCCTCTTACAGAACAGTACCTGGCGGTTGGTACCCGCGCAGGATAACATGAACATTATAGGCTGTAAGTGGGTATTTCGCGTTAAACGGAAGTCAGACGGCACCATTGAGCGATATAAGGCTCGCTTGGTCGCAAAAGGCTTTAATCAAATCCCGGGCGAGGATTTTTCAGAAACGTACAGTCCGGTTGTAAAACCAGCTACAATAAGGCTGCTACTAGCCTTTGCTGTCTCTAACAACTGGACTATGAGCAAACTGGATGTACACAATGCCTTCCTGAATGGCAACATCGACGAGGACATTTACATGCGTCAGCCCCCTGGCTACGTGAACTCCAATTTCCCGGGTCATGTGTGTAAACTACAACGCTCTTTGTACAGCCTCAAACAGGCGCCTAGAGCGTGGTTCAAAAGGCTACATGATTTCCTTGTTAAAATTGGGTTCCGTCCCTCAAAAACGGATGTGTCGTTGTTTATATTTTCTGCTGGGCAGGTTCGCACATATATTCTCGTCTATGTTGACGACATTTTGTTGCTAGGGAACAATTCAGAAAAAGTGGAAAACGTCTTCGCGCAACTCTCCACTACTTTTAAAATTTGAGATCTGGGTGTCCCCCGATTCTTCCTTGGGATTGAAGCTTCCTATGCCGATGGATCTGTTATGCTATCCCAAAAGCGTTACATGGTGGAACTTCTACGCAAAGTTGGTATGGAAACTTGCAAACCGCTTTCGACACCGATGTCGACCACTGCACCAGTCACCTCCAATGACTCTAAGCCCTTTGATGATCCGACGGCATACAGGAGCCTTGTTGGGTCGTTAATGTATCTGCTCATTACCCGCCTCGACTTATCTTATGCAGTTAACCGCCTATGCCAGTTCATGCACAGTCCAACGGAGGAACACTGGGTAGCACTTAAAAGAGTGATGCGGTATATTCAAGGGACTCGAGAGCTTGGCCTCCGTTTCACACCTACCACTACACCGGTCCTGCATACGTTCTCCGACTCAGATTGGGCGGGATGCTCGGTTGACAGGAAATCCACGGGTGGTTACGCAGTCTTCCTCGGACCTAATCTTGTGTCGTGGGCCTCCCGGAAACAACGCACGGTAGCTCGTTCATCAACTGAAGCCGAATACAAAGCCTTAGCTGATGCTGCAGCCGAGGTAACCTAGGTTCAGTCGCTGTTACGAGAGCTGGGATTGCATCCTCCCACTGTGCCGGTTCTTTGGTGTGACAATTTGGGAGCCACGTATCTCTGCTCCAATCTTGTTTTTCACGCGAGGACCAAGCACGTAGAGGTGGACTATCACTTTGTCCGGGACAAGGTGACAACTGGGCAGATGAAAGTCAACTTCGTCTCCACTCATGATCAGCTAGCTGACGTGTTCACTAAGCCACTACCGATGGCTCGTTTATGCTTTTTAAGGGACAAGCTTGGCGTGGCACAATGTCCCCCATCAACTTGTGGGGGAGTATTGAACAGTTAGTTTTTCAGTTAGATTTTAGCTGTGTTGTTAGATCTTTTCTCAGTTTGTTATCTATTTCTCTGCTATCTTCTATGTATAAATAACTGCAGCTTATTCATGAATAAATGAACACAACTCATATTATTAATTTGAAGTATATGTGTATGTGGCGTGTAGTATATATATATTTATGTATATATATTATCAGGGTAACAATTATCTAATATAGTATATAAAAAGTATAGTCTAAATTATTTTATATACAATATAATTATAATTATTTTGATTTTGATTAGGAGTTAAAATTTATAGATTGGGAGTTACAATCTAGATTATTCTCCCATTAAATATTGATTTAATAAAGATAAAAGTGAAGATAATGATATAATCCTTATCCCTCTTCTTTTTATGGACATTGCCGATTCTCTCAAAGGGAAAAAAAATCTCTCTTCTCTTCTTCTTCATTTCGCCGTTCCCAAATTTAAACGAAAAATAAAAAAATCTTTATTCTTTCAAGAGCCAAGAAGTTCCTTCAAGTTAAAGAGGAGCCTTTGAATTCTTAAATGGCTAAGAGAAAAATTAAGTGGAACTTTCTTCAAGAAAGTGGTTGTTTTTATTATACTTTGCCAATTATTTTCATTTAAAAAGAAAAGTGCGGATTTTTGGGATTTTTGATTGGTTGAAAGTCATGGAACCAAATGATTCTTGATAACTTGAAATTTTGATGCTATGAATTCGTTGAAAATGCATAAGAATGTGATTTTTGTTGGTTGGTTTGGTTATATGAATTTCATCTATGATAGATATTATGTACTTATACACATATACATATTTTGTATGATAATTGTATAAAAGAAAAAAAATTATTATTTTTATTATATATTTTATTTGAAATGCAGTATGTACTTTTATAAAGAAAATTTATTATTTTATTAACATATAATAATAGTATTCTTCTATAATTACCATGTGTGTATTTTATATATGAATAAAAGAATTTAAATAGTTAGTAAAAGTGCAACGTTGAGTTTAATTGTATAAATTGTGATGTAAAACATCTATGTTGTTGTTGGTGTTAAAGGGAAGGAAAATTTTTGGAAACCTATCGTGGCGGTATAATGTTGTGTACTGGCTATGGGATTTTATACCCATTTATATTGGCTATGAGATTGTATTCCCAATTATATTAGCTATGAGAATTTATGCCCATTTATATTTTCTATGGGACATTATGCCCATTTATTTTGGCTATGGGATTTGATGCCCATTTATATTGGCTATGGGATTTTACGCCCATTTATATTGGCTATGGGATTTTATACCCATTTGTATTGGCTATGGGACTTTATGTCCATTTATATTGGCTATGGGATTTTATACCCATTTATTTTGGCTATGGGATTTGATGCCCATTTATTTTGGCTATGGGATTTGATGCCCATTTATATTGGCTATGGGATTGTATTCCCATTTATATTGGCTATGGGAATTTATACCCATTTATATTGGCTATGGGACTTTATGCCCATTTATTTTGGCTATGGGATTTGATGCCCATTTATATTGGCTATGGGATTTTATACCCATTTATATGGGCTATGGGAATTTATACCCATTTATATTGGCTATTGGACTTTATGCCCATTTATTTTGCCTATGGGATTTGATGCCCATTTATATTGGCTATGGGATTTTACGCCCATTTATATTGGCTATGGGATTTTATACCCATTTATATTGGCTATGGGACTTTATGCCCATTTATATTGGCTATGAGATCTTATGGTCATTTATGTTACTGGATATGCGATTTGGTTCCCATTTATGTGATTGGTGATTTTTCGTAAAAACTTTTATTTACTTGAAAAGAGAGATCAAATATTTTGAAAGCACATATCGGTTTTTAAGTAAGCCTTGTGGCTAATTATTTTTGTGCTGATGTTCTTCCAAATTGATTATTTGTATGTGAAAAATGAATTAAATATTTATAGGTACATTTTTATGTGGTTATTGGTTGTTGATGAAATGAAGAAGGTTTTGTATGTGATTTTGAAAGAAAAATTATTTTTGAAAGTAATTACCTTCTTTTATTTTAAGTTTTGTTTCCGGGCAAAGTAACCCTTACTTAGCATGCTTTTCTAATCTCCACTGTTTGTTATGTTTCTTGAAAAAAAAATGTGAACAGAGATTTATGAAGCTTGAAGTGAAAGAACGCGTTAGAAGAAGAAGATAATGAATGTAATAGATGTAATTGAAGTATTTGACGGTTTTGTGATTAGCCTTGCATCTAGTCTTGATACGTTAGACGTGGCGGTAGCACCCTATAAGTGTTAGAATTTGAATTACGAGTTATTTGAGACTTGAATTGAAGTAGAATTTATAAGGAAATTTATTTTTAGTTATTCTATTTATATTAAGTTTCGAATTGTAATGTCATTAATGAAAGTTTGGGATGTCAAATTTTGGGGTGTTACAAATTGGTATCAGAGCAGTTCGAACCTTTGGGAGCCTAGGTTATGGAATCTTGAAAGCCTAGGTTTTGAATTTTTGAGGATATAAGAGAATATAATTGATTAGGAATTTAAGATTTTAGAAATTCGCAGTGAGAATCTGTGGCTTTGTAAAATGGTTGCGTGTTTTGTTTTGATTGCTAATACTTGCAGGTGGTGTTATATATTTTCATGAAAAGAAGAATATTTGGAGGTGAAGTTTATATCTGTTGAGATATTTAGAAGTACTGCTTTATATTTTGGTGGAATATAATTATTTGAAAGTATTCTATATTTTGGTGGGAGTATATTTATATGGAAGTGGTGGGACTATGCAATCTTGGTGTCCTATATATGACGAAATTGCTTGGCTTAGTAATTTTGTTAAGAACTTGATTTCTTATTCATTATGATAAAAATATATGGGCTTGGTGACCTTATTAGAGCTTCATTGTTTATTCTGGAGTTTTGTGACTAGAGGGATATATTGAGTTTAATGATGATTGTACTTAAGGATTTGATTTCTTATTAATTATGAGGAAGATATTTAGAGTTGATGATATTGATATATTATTTGGTTGTTATAATGAGATTCTATATTTGAAGGAAATATTAGGGTTTAGTGACTTATTTCGGATATGATCATTTATTCATTAAAAAAAAAAAAGATTTGTAGTTGGTGGTGGTATTAAAAACAAATTATTTATTTTATTTTGAGAATTTAAGATTCGGAGAAAAATAATTGGAATTGGTGATTTGATTTCTTATTCAATTAGGGAATTATATTTTGAGGAAGTATTTAGAATTGGTTATGAAATTTTGGATATAAGAGCTTAAGTTACGGAATTTGTGAATATAGCTCATGAGTTGAATTAAAATTTTGAAAATCAAGGGAATGATATGTGTTGTTGAATATTTTGTATAAGTTTGATAATCTATGTTTGGAGAGGAATACTTGAACTTGGTATTTTATTTGGAATATTGAAATCCCTAATGGTAAAAGTTGGATTATAGGAAAATTAATTTCCTTGATGATTTTATGGTTTAATTACTCAAGTATTGATGATGCAAAAATAGATGAATTTTTTTTTAATTCTTCCTAAATAGCCTAAGCATGAACTTGCATGAATATAGTTAAGAGCCTTTTAGATTTTGGACATGATATTTTGGAAGTTTGACTCAAGTAATAGTCAAGAGGATAATCATGTTTAAATTTCAGCGATTGAATGTGATAGATTATAACTTTGAGAAAGATAAATTATTAGTATCATAGTATTTAATTTGCTAAATGGTTTTAGGCAAATGTTGTGGGACTAATTAAGTCTTTAAAATTGAACTATGGATGTTTGACTATTGTTGGGTAAACCTAATCCCTTTTAGAAGTTTTTAATATAAAGATTGGAATTGTGTGGATTCTGGTTGAGCTTCGAAGATTGATGATTATCTATAATTGTAAATTAAGGAAATAGCTTTGAGTAAGTTATTTACAAAATGGTATTCAAGCATAAGGCCAAAGCTTTAAGATTTTAAGATTTCCCAAGTGACAGGTAAACCAAATGATGAGACTTATGAAATTGTGGTGAGATATGGGTTTCATTATATCTGTTTAATTTTTTTTTTTTTTGTAATTACGTTGAGTAATACTGGCGTGTGGAAGCAAGTCATTCTTCTAGAATATGTTCCTTGATGGGATGAGATCCAGATATTTCCATTCAACGTTAAATTGATACTTGTGCTCAAAATTAATTGTTTTACGTGGATAAATTGTTTTATGTGTTTCTATGCATGTTTTTATTCGAAATATTTATGTGATAAAATTGCAATATGTGTTAGGAATTTATTTGTGTATTTGCATGTGTTATTTAACGTGAGATCATATGCCATGCAAATTAATTTGATAAAATGTGCAATTCGTGATTTATTTGCTAATTTGCTTAAAATTGCATGTTTCAATGTGTTAATCAGTTTTTGAGTATGTGTTCATGTTTCTGTAAATTAACTAACTTGTTTGCATGAACAATTTGCTCTAAAAATGATTTACCATGTTTATTTAACTATATATGTGCCTAATGTGATTTACCGTGTTTTATATGTGTTTCGTGCATATATATGATATAATGTGTTAGAATGCTTTAAGCTAATATTTTTCGTTTCTAAAATCTGTTTTTAGGATGTAAAATTTTATATAAAGTTGTTTCTAATTATAAATTAGTAATA